ATTAAGGAGGAGGTGGCCAGCCATGTGATCAACACTGAACACTTTGTTTTCAGCCTCAGAGGGAGCAACTCGCAGAGGTCGCACAGTGGGATGCAAGTGCAAAACTACAACCTGGTGTTGCTCCAGAGTGCCCAGGTAATGGGCTTCTGGAGTATTCTGGCTGGCACAGACACCGTCAACGTTAATATTTTAGAGACAATTTATTTTGTTATTCTTGCACAAGGATGTCAGAAGCACCATCATATTACAAAAATCTGAAGTGACAAAAATCATAAGCTCACCTCATCCTTGTCTGCCTCTTCATCAACTTCATAAACATGAACTGGAAGTTTTTCTAATTTGGTCCCCTTACTAAAAGAAAGAAGAAAGAAAGAAAGAAAGAAAGAAAGAAAGAAAGAAAGAAAGAAAGAAAGAAAGAAAGAAAGAAAGAAAGAAAGAGAGAGAGAAAGAGAAAGAAAGAAAGAAAGAAAGAAAGAAAGAAAGAAAGAAAGAAAGAAAGAAAGAAAGAAAAGGGGGAAAAAAGAAAAGAAAGGAAAGGAAAGGAAAACACCACATCTCAAATAATTATTTCAGAATTGCGAAGGGCAGCTAATATAATATAGTAGAGATAGATGAGGGAATCTTTCACACATTGTTCCCAAAAAATAGTAGTGCTTGCAGGGGAAAAAGCATGCATGCCATTAACTTTACAGGTTCATTACAAAAGCAGCAATAAGAGATATCTTATCCAGTAGTTTTATTTGAGACAGATTTATTCTGGTTACAAGGGAAAAGAAAGGGATCTCTTAGGCATTCCTTATATACCCTACTTCACTTACCACATTCACCCTTTCATATCTATCTCTTGTTTGCTGGGATTCTAAGTAGCATATTATGTGCTCTTCAATAAGACTGAATCTATGGTGATAGCATAAACATATCTTCAGGAATATGTTGAACTTCAACCAAACTTTCCTAATTACAGAACATCCTACATTTCAGAGTAGATTTATCTTAAACCGAAGGTAGAGATTTAAACTTTAAATTCCTTATAAATTGTATTTACATCCACTGTACATCTGGATACTTTCAGGTGTTAAAATATATGTAGGTGGAGCAAAGCATCAAAAGTGTCCCGTGCTTCCAGTCTTCATACTTATGTTGTACCTGGAATTGTACCTGCATAGTTTTCGCCACTATATTCAAGTGGTATTTATATTTGGAAGTTAGGGATCTCAAACATCTTTCAGCTGTTCTAGAATGGAGTTAAATATGTAAACAGGAGAATGCAGCAGGTTCTGCCCACTTATCTTCCACATTTTCTGTTACATGTCTGTGATATGCTTACTTGTTTATACTTCTTCCCATGATAGAGGGATTATCACCAAATCATCACAAAAACTGCCTATGACATATTAACATACATCCACAGGCATAATAAAAGCATGCAATTAAATGTATGGCTATGGCCTGTTGCCATGATACTATCCATTTTACTGGAAGCTCTTGAATATATGCAAGGTACGTAAATATGCAGATCCTAAATGGAACACATGCTACACAAATATAGAAAGTTAACCTGTACATTATGGCATGCAAAGCAATTTCTGATTAGGTACTGAGCATTTAAAATGTTTTTATAAATACAGAAACTGTATAAATGTTAGAAAATCTTACTCACTTTGGAAGTTGGCGAAACTCTCCTGAGTAATCTTCAAATTTGTAATTTACAACATGCCAGTCAGAGTTGTATGTTTTAATGCACTTTACAAAGAGAAAATACAATACATATATTTAACAAATAGTCTTCAAAGAATAATGTAGTTTTCTTGGTAGTGCAAGAATTTGTCTTGATTTAAATTGTGCTTTTAAAAGTGTGCGTTTAAAACTGTAAAAGTTAAAAGAACAAAGCTCAGCTAGCTTCCTTTATTATTTCTTTATTATAAAAATATCATTAAAATAAAACTAGCAAGACATTTATATAGTAAAAGTGCACCAATAAATTTTATACACTTCATCACAAATATACCATTTGGGAAAAAAGGACTTATGGCTCTAAGCTGGACACAAAAATGCTATAAGTGTGTGTATACTTTCAGTAAAGTTTTCTTAGCCTTCAGTCAGAGGAAGCACATTTTTACTCCACCCATGCTGGACTAACTAACTGAGTTTTCATTTGTTTTGGCTCCAGCCCAAATATATCTTGTATGTTAGTCTGGATCATTATATAAAGCCATGTTAGCAACTGATTTTTTACTTTAAAAAAATTAGTAGTTCCCTTAGCCAGATTATTAGAGACATGATATAGCATGACAAATCATACAATTCTCAAGTTGACAGCAAAAAAAAAAAAAAAAAAAAACCTGAACATTTTTAAAATCTGAAAACAAAACAGTAGAGTCATAAAGTCTTTACCAAAGAACAACACATTAGAAAGTGAAAGCAATCAAAGGAAAATGGTTTGTTAAATTTTGATCAGTTTAGACCACAACTATTGACAGCAATATACTGAAGCAAGTATAGCAAACATAGGGTATCTAGGTTATAGCAAATTTAGAGAATGTGAAGAATTCCTAATCCCAGCACAAGCACTAGCCTGCAAACTATTCAGTTAAACCATGCTTGTAATATATTTTTGTGCCATTTAAATCCAAAGATCATTCCCTAGAAGGTGATCAAGAGGGCGGTTGCTCTTCAACTCCAAGCTGTCTTGGATGAAACCGATTATCTAGACCCATTTCAAACTGGCTTCAGGACAGGCTTTGGGGTTGAGACTGCCATGGTTGCCTTGACCGACGATCTGCGTCTGAGCATCGACAGGGGTAGTGTGACCCTGTTGGTGCTCATAGACCTCTCAGCGGCTTTTGATACGATAGATCACAGCATTCTTCTGGATCGCCTGAGGGAGTTAGGCATCGGAGGCACTGTTTTGCAGTGGTTCCGGTCCTTCCTCTCGGGCAGGTCCCAGAGAGTGCTGCTCAGGGACAGTAGCTCCAGTAAAAGGGAGCTTACCTGTGGAGTACCACAGGGTGCTATTCTGTCCCCGATGTTATTTAACATCTATATGAAGCCGCTGGGTGAGATCATTCGGAGTTATGGAACTGGGTGTTATCAGTACGCTGATAACACTCAGATCTATTTCTCCTTATCTCTTTCGTCGGCCTCGAATTCTGATGGCATCTCTTCTCTCAATGAATG